TGTAAATAGGGAAGGGTGGAGGGGGTGAATGGAGGGCTAGGAATGGGGATAAAATAAGAACCAAGATGCATTATGTAAAGGTACAATTCCCAATGAAAAATGTAATTGTGTTGTATACCTACAATATACCAATAAAATAGTTTAATAAAAAAAAAAAAACAAACAGAAGTCAGTCACCAAACTGGAGGAGAATTTCAAGTAAGCAAATTTCCCTTGCCTCTGTCCTATGAATTTCACACTCACACACTCAGGCTTTCTATTATCCAAATAGTTTTGAGCTCAAAAGCAAATAATTTCAGCATGCTCGTGTGATGGTTTTCTAAGAATTAAAAAAATATTTTATGCAGAGCATACTTACTCTGATCTAAAAGTGAAAAACACGCAAATAAAAAACCAGAGTAACATAGGGCCATAATACATTATTTAAGCCCTTTGAGACATAACTTTCCATTTTCCAATTTTAAAACTCTCACAAGTCTTTCCACAATTAATAAATCCCATACAAGAAAAAAATCTATATTGCAATTTGAAAGTTGTTATTTCTGCAGATCACAATGAGTTCTTTGTTTCCCGAATGTTTTCTTACCAGTGAATTTTTTCAATATCCATAAAAATGGAGTCATTTTGCAGCCCAAATGATCCTTTTATTTTCTTCTTTCAAAGTGGGGTTTTTTTTAAACCTCAGAAAGCTGAAATGGAACACATTTCTCTTTTCAGGATGAAATAATAGCTATGGATGATCAAAGGTAATTGTATCACAAGATTAAAGAGAATTTTGTATGTTGGAGAGGCAGACTTTTTGCCTAGTCATCTTGTTAGATTGGTCAATTTCATTTATTCATTTTTCCCTGTATGTATTGGAAATCCACAGACAAAATTTAGGATGGCTAGTAAATGATTTTCAGGGATGATAGTTCCTACTCTCAATATTAGATATGGTTGTCAAAAATATTCCTTAAGCCCTGTTATAATCTCTCCATTATTACAGTGATTTTTCAGGGTTTTTGGCAACTGCCACTACTTTGGATTTTTGTTTAATGAAATGATCAAGATGTCAGGGGTTAAGTTATTTCTCTCTGGCACCTGGGGAAGCTACAACTATTTCAGGTTATCACATATTACATGATCAATCATTATTTCACTGTACTACAGCAAACCCTGGGAAATAAATGAATAATGTAAATGCCAAAGGTGCCTACTTTGGAACTGTCAAGGAGAGAATATAAAATCAACAAGCATGTGTTAGATCACATGCAACACAAGAAAATTAGACTATACCTTTCCAAAGGTCCTTTTCTACATTTCCTTTTTCTTTCTTCTTTGAGTGGCTGGGACTACAGTCATGGGCCACCATGCCCAGTTATTTTCTACTTTTTTCCCCCCAGTACTGGGGATTGAACCTAGGGGCTTTGCACTGAGCCACATTCCCCAGTCTTTTTTCTTTTTTTTAAACAGGGAATTAGTGACTAAATTGTCCAGGGTGGGCTCAAAGTTGCAATCTTCCTGCCTCAGCCTCACAGAGTGTTGGGATTACAGGCATGTACCACTGTGCATGGCTTCTTGTAAACAGGTACTAATAAAATTTTTTTTAACTAAAAAAAAGAGCCTATATATATATATAAGTAATAACCTCTTTGGTATCCTTTGGAATTTTCTCATTTATATAAATGACAGAATAGGTCTTTGACTAAAACCAATATAGACGATTCTCACATTTTAGAAGGGTGTACAACTATAAATGTTGAGAGTTTAAAAAAGAAGGATTTAACCAGAACTCCTATTGTCAGACTGTTGCAATTAACCAAGTCAGACTTTTTTGTCTATTTTATATAACAAGTAGGTTTGTACCTATAACACATGAATACAATCCTTTAATCTTGCTGTATTAAATAATGCAGAGCACTTGCTACTGAATATGCAAGTTTTTTAATAATTATGATGCTAGATTTTTATTATCTATGTTGTGGAAAATGCTAATGTAATATTTACAAAGTCTCTAGTTTGCTTCTTTTGTAGACGCAGTGTAGGAGAAAAAGGCCACAGCTGGCACAAGACTAGTACATTTAGCTCCAATCAAACTAACTACAATTCTATATTTCTTTGAACTTTAGATAAACATGATTTTGCATTCATGGTCCACTGTGAACAGAGTATGAAAATGTGAAACAGAATCTAAGATTCATCTCTTCTTAGGCCACAGTAATGAATATAGTATTAGAAAAGCCATCTATCTGGCAGATAGTATAAGGTTTAAAGTCTGAAAACTCAATCTCTAGAACTACTTCTGTTTTTAATACGCCTGTGATCGTAGGCAAAACACTCCTCCCATAACTTAATCACACATCTGTGCAGTGCATGTAATAATCGTACTATTTATTTTGAAGAATTATCAGGAAACTTATATAAAACCATAAACTAATAAATATAATTTTAAAGACATTATGCAATATAAAGTGTCTCATCATATCACGGTTTTTTTTGTTGTTGTTTTTTTTTGGTGTCGGGGATCGAACTCGGGTCCTTGCGCTTGTGCAGCAGGCGGTGAAACCACTGAGCTAAATCCCCGGCCCATATATTATGTATTTTTATTGATCAAACTTGATCACACATAATAAATACATTACTTCAAATTGTTAAATTTACTATTTGGGGAAATTTGAGTAGAAACTCAATGAAAAATCTGTTTGACCTGGAGAAGCAGATAAAGAAGACACATTTTTCCTTTTATTCCTATTGTAAGTTTAGAAAAACATAAATTCTGGAAAATGACTCAGTTCTTCCAAGTTACTAGTATGAGAGAAGTCTCCCTAAAAAAGTTTGTTGTTAACATGAGAAATGGTAACTACGGAGAGTTTCAGATTTTAACATTTAGGTTGCTACAGTTGCCATAGAAACATAGCTTCAGACACTGAATAGGACAAACCATATGTTATTCTTAAGGGAAATTCCTAAAGATCTTCTTGGTAGAATATCCTGGAAAACTAGACTATAAAATAGGTGGAAAGATATGGTATGGAGCATTTTCCTGGGCTCTGATTACAGACTCTGAGCCTTATTTAACCTACAGACATATTTGGCTGCTCCATGATAGGGCACTGCCTTTGGAAAAACAGAACTGGTGAAATTAGAGCTGTTCTCTACTGGCCCTAACAAGGTAGGAGTTCAAAGATTCACAAAACAGCCTCGAAGCAGTCAGTGGCTAATGTGCTTTCTTATTAGAATATATTATAAATCTTATTAATATATTTTCAGAGACTGAGGAGACAGAAAATTTCAGTTATAGAAGTAGAATTTTGAGATTTCTTTCAATTTTTGCAGCAAAGAAGTTCCTAATATTTTAAAATATAACTCATTATTCCCATTAATTATAAATAAGATACATGCTCATTGTATAAAATTTGACAAACAAAAAGGAAAAAAGTTAAAAAATCCCAGGTCATTTTAACACCTATACATAACCACTGTTACTCTTATGTATATTACCACATATCATATTATCACATAGCTCAAAACAAATACTTAGCTTTATGTCCATGTTCTTCTACTTAATCTTGATGTTATTTGTTTAAAATAAAGCCTCAAATGCCATATGATCCCAATTATACAATAATAAGAATGGTAAGGGGCTGGGGATTTAGCTCAGTGGTGCCGCATTTGCCTGCCAAGTGCAAGGTCCTAAGTTTGATTCCCAGTACCAAAAAAAATAGAACGGTAGGATTCAAGAACATCAAATACAGTCTGGGGACTTAGCTCAGTGGTGAAGTACTTGTTTAGCACGGGGCCCTGGGTTAGATCCCCCAGCACAGCCAAAAAAGGGAAAAAAAGGTGTCAAATATCAAATACCAAATGAAGTATGACTTTCTTTTTTGCTGATTTTATTTGTACCCCTTTTCTTGGGGATGAAGATCCAGAAGAGATAGTTGCCAAAAGACTTTTTGTAGTGTAATTACTTTAGTTGTTTTTTTTTTTTAGTTTTTTTTTGATACCGGGGATCAAACTCAGGACCTTGCACTTGCGAGGCAGGCGGCAGAACCACTCAGCTAAATTCCCGGCCTACTTTAGATTTCTTAATCTTATTTTAAAAACCTATGTTAGTTTAGTTTAGTGTATGTGATGCCGAAGCAAGCACATATGTTAGTTTAATATCATATATACCTAATGCATTCATACCCTTACCATCAAATCTATTGAAAACAGTTATAGGAAAATAAAGACACCAATTATGTTTACTATAAAAATATACAAATTTGGCAAAATAATTTACTTCTACTGTTATTTTAAATTTATTATTCAATATAGAGTCTACCCCCAAAGTAAAGTTGATTAAGATCATTAAGATGAGATAGAGTGTGTTATTGCTTTAGACCAATTATAGTCTTTGGTAACTTTAAGAACCTGTGCTGGGGCTGACAGGCTCCAGACAGGCATGCGGGGTACCTTCGGGAAGCCCCAGGGCACAGTGGCAAGGGTTCACATTGGACAGGTCATCATGTCCATCCACACCAAGCTGCAGAACAAGGAACACATGATCGAGGCCTTACGCAGGGCCAAGTTCAAGTTCCCTGGCCGCCAGAAGATTCACATCTCCAAGAAGTGGAGCTTCACCAAGTTCAATGCAGATGAATTTGAAGACATGGTGGCTGAGAAGCACCTCATCCCTGATGGTTGTGGGGTGAAATATATCCCGAACAGAGGCCCCCTGGACAAGTGGCGGGCCTTGCACTCCTGAAGGCTTCCATTGTGCTGCCCCTCCTCTCTAACAAGTTCATCAATAAATCTTATCTCTGCCCCCCCCCAAAAAAGAATTAATCATACAGGTTTCAAATTTATCTCTTTGACAACTGGAGAACAGCTTTTGTCTTGAAAAACTGGCTAGTGGAAAAACATAGAAGTTTAAGGCCCAGTATGGGAAGCAAAATTTTAACTAATTCCTGCTATTACAGTTTAGATCTAAAATGTCCCTCTTTAGGAGGTAGGCCCTTGATGGAAGAGGCAGTTCACTGGGACCATGACCTGGAAGGATATAGTTTCCTCCCGGGGTCCTCCCTTCTCTCTCTGTATCCTTGCTGCCATGATGGGAGAAGCTTTCCTCCACCATGCTGTGGAACTGGCTGAGCATGAATGGAATCCCCCCAAATAAGTCTCTGCTCCTTTAAGTTGTGGGTGTTAGGTATTTTGACCCAGCAAAGGGATTGTGACTAACATACCTACTAATCATTAAGGATTTAATTGAATGAACCTCTGGGCCCATATTAATTTTGTTCTAGTTAAGATAACCTTAATTTATTATTGTACCATTTTTTAATAATGAAAATGTAAACCAGAAAACATAGACCAAACAATCCAGTTAAGAAGAGCAAAAAAAAAAAAAGAAAAAGAAGAGCAAACTGCAACATGTCTAATAATTTCAATTTCTCTGTATTATCTTTATTATACATGTATATATGGCTGCTATATTTTTTGAAGTTATATTTGAAAATATACAAAATAAATGCACATAACTTAATTGAAAGCAGAGGATGTTTATGTGTATTTAAAAATGTTATGAATATTCTTAGTGGCAAATTGGCTGTAGTTAATTTAGAAGTAGGTATGTAATTACAATATTTTATATGATCTTTATTTTAAACATGTTATCTCCATTTTAAAGGTAAGGAATATCCCATTTCACAGAGACGCTAAGAAAACTGCCCAAGTCATATAGCTAACACATTTCTTTAAAGATAGTTTAGCACAATTAAATGATTACATATGAATTTATTTATTTATTATTTATTTACTCAATTTTTTGTGTTGCTGGGGACTCAACTCAGACCCTTGTACATGCTAAGCAAATGCTTTACCACTAAGCTACGCCTCCAGACACATATGAATTTATTTAATCCAGAAATAATATTGAAATATTTATGAACTTTTATCTAAGTGCATGAAACTTTATTTTATATCATATTTCAGGTAAACTTTTATTTTGTTGTCCAAGCATTTTATTGTCTGTTTTCAGGTGTAAAACTTCTCTCATAAAGGTAAATACTCCAGATACTTTTGTATTGTTTATATCTCATTTACTAATATATAACAGAATTCTGATAGTTTTTGATACATAGTCATATAAACTGTAGTGACCTTTTTTCATTTCTGTCATTGAAAAAGAAACAAAAAATAAATATTTGAGGACTGCAATTATTCATTTCCTATGAACAGGCTTTAGGACAGGTGGATATTACATTCATTCTCAAGAATGTTCCAAGTGAATACACCTATCTTTATTTTTAAAAAAGAGATTGCAACAGTATTTGAATATTTTATTTTCACTTTCCAATGAGCTGCCCGCTGTGAATAATGGTAATGTCTCAGCCCATTACTGTATATGCCAATTTCTTAAAAATATAGACCACATCAATAATGTCAATGACTACAGTATAACAGTACTTCTAATGATGAAAGAAATATTCTGAAAGTGTTATGGTTTTTTTTTGGTATTTAAAAATATTTACATACTAAGGAATACTACATGTTTCCATAGCCATAATAGATCAATTTAACTACTGAAGAAATAAACATCATAATTTGCTCAATGCAATCACATTGGAAATGTAAAACTAGTTGAATTAAAAGTTAAAGGAAAGGTCAAATACAAATCTTGTAGTAAAATGCTACCGACTAAAAGTTTCTGAATCTTCAGTTTATTAATTAAAAAGTATAATTTATTAGTAACATAGCAAAATCCTCATTTTAATATTTATTTTTGATGATAATTTTAATTTTATTTTGAGATCAATCATATAGGATCTTAAAATAAAGACTATAATCACATTTACATGTAGTTGTTTTTGTCATTTTTATGGAGTGTTCATTTAAATTGATCTGAAATTTATTTGTAAAGACTCATCAATACTTTTGGTAGAAAAAACATTCTAGGATGTTTTCCTTCTGTTCTGTATATACCAATGGCCATACATAAAAATTAAAAAGTTAATCTCAGTTTGATTTCTCCCACCATGTATTAAGAACTGTACAGAAACAAATTTGTATGGTGGAAAGTTATTAGATACTTTCTAATTAAAATTATGTACTAAAACAATTTCAGAAATCAAAGGATGTAAGTCAGATGACAAGGCCAGCCCATGGTTTACATAGCATGCCATAGTGGATATATTCAATTAATATATTCAATAATTTTGAAAAGGGGTGAACTTTAAAGTCCATTTTGTATTCAGATCTGTTCTCCAGTTAAACTCATGGATTAATTATAAAACCGATTGGTTTTGTGAAGGAATATTTTGTTCTGAGTATATTTTATTCAGGCAAAACTGACTAAAAGCAATGCCCAGCTCATTCCAATAGTCTATCGATTCGCTTGCAGGGAGTATTAATCATCTCTCTGCCACAAATGTATATATTTAGCTATAAATTTAATATAATGCATAAATTTAAGTTTTAGTTAAACACATATCATTATACACATTGAACTCACACTATTAGATTAGTAATAGCAAGCTAAGCTCAAAAGAAAAACTCAATTCTTTTTTAACTGCTTATTCAGGCTAAGAATACATTTTTGCTTTTGACCAAGTGTCAGTATAATACTCACAGTTAATGAAGACTAAACATAAAAATAATGATTTTATGAGCACAAAAATAGGAGACTTTATGGAGCAAATTGCTAAAGAAGTTGTGTCAGCTATGGTAATTATGAACTGTATGATATCGGATTAATTTCTTGGACCTCTCTGTGACTGTTTCCTCATCTTTTTTTTTTTTTGGAACCGGAGATCGAACTCGGGACCTTGCACTTGTGAGGCAGGCTGCGGAACCACTTAGCTAAATCCCCAGCCCAGAGTTAGATTTCTTTTTATTTTCTTGCTACTGGGGATTGAACTCAGGTCCTTACGCTTGCGCAGCAGGAGGCAAAACCACTTAGCTAAATCCCCGGCCCTCCTTATCTTTTTAATGGCAATATTAAGAGTGCAAAATGTTTTTCTACAAAGGCAGTGAAATGTGCATGAAATACTCTTAAAGTGGTGCTGAGCACCTAGTGTTTAATAAATATGAGTTGTTACTAGTGCAAAATATCCCTAATTTATTGATCTGAAGTATTTTTTCAATTGAGTGTTTAAAGTATAGAAATGCAGGTATTCATTGTTAATATACCGTTTCTGGTACCATTAAAGAATAAATTCTAATAAAAAAGAATAAATTCTAACTAAAAATTTCCATTGGACTATTTGAAAGAGAAGAGATGAATGCTGCATGAAAAATATATATAGCTCAGAGGTTCAAGTGATTCACGGTCATTAGTTTAGAAGAAATAATCAATTATTGTTCTACCAGAATCACAGTTTTTTTCTCTTAAAAGAAAATTTTGAACACAAAAAGAATTTCATTAGGCAAGCATTGAATAGGAAGCCTTGAAAACAGTGTTTTTGATGGCAATAAATTTAATTCATTCAGTGGTATGCTTCATACTGGCTTGCAGATAACTATTATGCTCAATTAAAAAATTTGCAATTCATCTGATCATCAACATTACAATTAACAGAGAAAAGGGCTTAGTAAGGATTTTGGTACCATTACATAAACCTTTAAGGAATTAAGCTTTCTGAACTTTTTCTACTCCAGTGAAAGCTCTAATGTACCAACCAACTCACCAAATTAAAGTAATATTTCATATGCTGAGAAAACTAATTTATTACCAGCAAATTATTTATATGTGAATGTTGCTCTTAGCTTAAATTGTAAGATAAAAAGTAGCCTATGATTGTTATCATTTTATTATGTTTTGACATCTTACCTATTAAAATGAAATTTACTGTTGATAGAAAATGCAGTTAAGGGCCGGGGATTTAGCTCAGTGGTTCTGTCGCTTGCCTTGCAAGCACAAGTACTCGAGTTCGATCTGGTACCAAAAAAAAAAAAAAAAAAAAGAAAGAAAATGCAGTTAAAAGAGAAATTACTTAAAAGAGAGAATTAGTCTCCTTTTAGTGTCAAAACTATTGACACAAATACAGAAAACATATACCATGTGTATTTTTGTTTTGACCTCTGTAGGTCATTGGAAAGAAAATATCTGTTCATGCTTTGACATATCAGCCCTGCCATCATCTTACAAAAATCACTTATTTCAAAAATAATCTGAGCTAAGGGTGGCAGCAAATACCTCTAATTCTACCTACTCAGAAGGCTGAGGTTTAGGACCACAAGTTCAAGGCCAGCAAAATACAAAAGGGCTGGGGATGTAGCTCAGTGATAGAGCGTCCCAGGGTTTAATTGTTAATATCACTACATATATAGAATCTAAACTATATATATATATTTAAACTGAAGTAAAGGTTAATTTGTTGGCCCAAAACATATAACACTATTTGAAATATCTGAATACTTCCATGGGAAATTGTGGCTCTCCAGTCTCCCTTTCATTTTATATTTTAGACCTCCCTAAGCAAAGTAAGAATAAGAGCACATTTATGAAATACTATAAGCAAAGAAAATAGTTCTTGATATTTATTTTTTATTGTATTATTATTCTGATGGTTTGAGAAATGTAAATTTCAATTGCCTAGTAAAATGACATTAAATTTAGAATACTTGCAAGAAGGAAATGGAGTAGAATTTACTTATAGAGCACATACTATAAAACCTATTTTTTTTCTCTCTATGCCTTAAGATAGGTTTGACGCACACCTATATTAAATTTAAATTTGCTGTTAAAACACTTTTTAAAGTAATTATAGCTTTTTTTGTCCTTCAGAGAATG